GTCTGCAAATATATTGCCCAATACAGGAAATCCTGCTTGCAGACTTCCTGTCCCGGCCGAGAGAAGCAGCCCATTTTATGTCAGAAATTTTTATTTCTTTGATCTAAGGATCAGGTCATCTCCTAGTGTTGCGAACCAGAAGTTCCTTAAAAGGATGTTTTTTGTAGTCAAAACGCCTCCTGCGTACAATGGTTTTAGCTGGTTAAACTCCAACAATTTACACCCATCACAGACTCTGGGGTTCCTCAAGCTTTGGTTCTTGCCAGCGTATGCCCAGTGCTCTGCGGGATGAGGTAAGCAGTGCAAGACCTTCCAGGGAGAGAGACTGTGCATTCCCTTTTGCACACAGGGAGATGTCTATGTGTAGGTGGCAAACATACGTGGAACTTTGGTTTGGAGCCTCTTAAGCACAGTGATGGGTTTCCACATGTGTCAGACACTGGCCGACTCCCCCCACCATAACAACCTCCTACAAGAAACAAATGAATTAAAGAATTCTCAGTCAAACAAGGAATAGGTCTAAGGAGACCTCACCTCCTGACACACCGCTACACAAGTAAAATCCGTTGCAAAGTAAGATCAGAAGCTAGACATAAATCACGCCTCCGTTGTGAGGACAGTGGATATATTTAGTTCGTCAAGGGTGCAGTCAAGGTCCTTTTACAGTGTTGTGCACATCAGAATGAAACCTGAACTCAGACACGTAGGGGTAGCATTATGTGTCATTCGCTCAGGGTAACATGAGAGATCAGAAAAAAGATTATTTGTGCAGAACTATTGTACCTGACAGCTGTTGCTTGAACAGACAGTGCAGAGTCACTACTCTGCTCAGGAAAATTTGTGTGTAGTTCTTCCGGTTCCTGAGCCAGACAGGTCCACAGCAATCCAAGGCTCCATTGATGACCAACCATGCTGCCAGCCTTGGTAGCAAACAGGTCTTGGAAGAGCAAATTAATCAGTGGAAGCCTGGGATTCTTCCTGCTTGGCTCCTGTTAATCCTGCAAGCCAAAACCCTAAACGTGGAGTGTGATCCTAGCTGAACAAGCAGGGGAAGCTGGACATCTCACTATTTTAGCTGGTTAAACTCCAGCAGTAAGTCCACTTCGCGGCCCGAGGCGCCCATACCAACCTGTGCCTTGCACTTTCTTGCATTAGGTGAGCAGGGAGTGTCTTGCCCTCTGGTGAGAGAACGTGCATTCCACTCTAAACACAGGGAAATTACATGTGGGAAAGTATTGAGTTTTTCACGATAGCTTGACCAAAATACCCTGAGTACCCTAAGTAAGCAGCCAACACAATCCACGTGACGCCAAAAGAGCACAGAGTGTCGTGGGATGTTGAATCTCAAAACTAAAGCCAAAACGAAAAAGCAATTTCTTTTGTAATTCATGGTTTATAACTCACGAGAGAGCTACAAATTCGGAGCTACCATCAGCTCTTTAGATCTTGGCTTGTACCAATTACATTGTCAAGTTGTTTGTTAAACGAGCCTTGTATTTGATATAGCGCCTTATTACGACAAAGTGTCTCAAAGCACTCCACAGGATTTACAGTAAAGCGTTGTGACTGTGTATTTGTAGATGAATTCAGCAGCAAATTTGCACATGGCAACGTCGCATAATTAGCCATGAAGTGAATGAGCAATTTTGTGAATGAGCAATTTTATCCAGGGGATTGTTGGCCAGGACACAGTGAGGCTCTTCCTTCTCTTTTCAAACAGCTTCAAACAGTAAATTACCCTCTAAATAAAAATGCGTTCCCCGGATAGTGCGAAGCAACTTTGTTTTTTGCACTTTGCTGCTCTCTGAAGCTGAAACCCTTTTTCTAAGGAGGGTGTGTCGCAACATGAAAGGCGCTATATAAATGCAATTGTTGTGAATAATAATAGTACTCCTTGCATTTGATACAGTGCCTTATCACAACAACAACAACTTGGATTTCTATAGCGTCCTCCACGCCGGACGGCGTCTCAGAGCGCTTACGCTCACGTCATTGAGATGTCTCAAAGCGCTTCACAGAATATACTGTAAAGCGAATTGACTATATTTTTTGAGCGAAACCCAGCAACCAAGTCATACTTACTGCTAGGTAAACAGAGGCATGAGGAGTAAGGAAACTTACCTAAGGTTTCACCCCGCTCAGGAATCGAACCTGAGTGCTCTCGCTTGCGAGGCGAGTGCTCTAGCCAATACATTACACCTTGTTGTTGTATGTCTCACTGCAATGCTGGACAAGTTTACTGGAAACTCCCAATGGAACTTAATTAAAGGTACAAGCTCTGACTTGCAGTGGGTTGCACCAAGACCTACTTCTGTTTGTAATCGGCTAGTGTTTGACATGTGAAAGAACTCTCCCAATGATATTGTTGCTGCTGGTTCTCATTTATTGCTGAAGTGGACCAAGGTGGATCAATGGGAGTTCATATTCATCTTCCAGGTAACCAGTTCTGCAACGTGTTTAGGAGGTGCATGTAACCTACCCAGCTGGGCGAAGCAGGGCAAAGCTCTTTGTCCAAGGAATTTCAGTTTCAAAATCAAGATTCAAGATAATTGGTAGAAGAACCAGAGATGAGATTTTTTTACTGTAATTTGGGGGTGAAACGTGGCAACCAATTGCACACAGCAGTGTCCCAGTGAATTGTTACAATCTGGAATTCGCTGCCTGAAAGGGTGGCGGAAGCAGGTTCCATAATAACGTTCAAAAGGGAATTGGATATTTACTTGAAAAGGAAGAAATTGCAAGGCTATGGGGAAGGAGCGGGTGAGTGGGACTAGTTCTTTCAAAGAGGCATGATGGACCGAATAGCCTCCTTCAGTGCTGTAGGGTTCTGTGATTCTATTCTACGATTCTATAAGCAGAAGCTGAGAGAGGAAATGAATGTAACCTTGCTCAGTTGCTAGCACTCTCGCTAGCTGGGCCAGATGCTTTGGGGTTCAAGCCCCATGTTAGGACTTGAGCTCACAGTCCAAGCTAATACTTCTGTGATATTAAACCAGTACTCCTGTTTAGGTGGGCCATGAGGTTTTAATGCTCTTTTAAAGCCATGAAATCTTTAGTGCCCATCTAAACAGCCAGTCAGGACTGCAATTTAATGTCTCACAAGGAGTACCTCTAATAATGCAACGCATCCCCAGCATTGTACTGGAGCATCAGCCTAAATAGACCATGAGTTCAAAGCACTGACGTGGGGCTTGAACCCACAACTTGACTCCGAGAGTGTTACCAGATGAGTCGGGCTGACACAATATGGTTCCACAGAGAAAAATTGATTGTGAATGAGGCTTTGGTCAAAGTGGAGGCAGAGAAATACAAAGTCTTACAATCTCTTTTTTTTTAATACACACACATATATATATATATTTAAGCAGTTTGCTTAACTAAACAAAACCATCACAAATGATTTTGTAATGCTGTCTTTTTTTTTTCCAGGCACACCAGTACAGCTTCAATTACATCAGGTTCTCAATCTCCACAGACTATAGACTTTGGCACATGGTGCCAACACAGTCATTTTCAAATGCTCTTCAGTGGTGACTGCGAGATGACTTCACAAGTTTTTGGGAAAGTATTGATAGTGAAACCCAATAATATCAAATCATCTCAAAAGGGAATTCCTGTGAACTGTAGTGACTGTATTTTGTCAGCAGCCAATTTGCACACCGTAATGTCCCACAAACAGCTGTGAAACGAACGACCAATTTTTTTTAAGCTGGGGGATTGTTGGTCAGGATACCAGGAAACACTCCCTTCTCTGTCCCACTTGTGCTGTGGGATTCAATTCAATTGATTTGTGAAGAACATTCTTCCAGAATCCCTATCCTCTCATTACAATATTGAGCTGGCTCTTAAATAAATCCCTCCCGTTTTACTATCTGGTAACCCCCCCCCCCCCCCCATCATCCAGCTGATAATTACCCCCTGCAGAAAATACCATAATAATGACAATCAAACATTTGGTATAGTGTTTTTCAGAGGATAACTTCACAGAATATACTGTAATGTAGAAAGTGTAGTGACTATGTGTATTTTGTAGGTGAATGGGGCAGCCAACTTGCACACAGCAATGACCCACAAATAAGCGTGAGATGAATAACCATCAAATAACCAATTTTATCTGGGGGGATTGTTAGCCATGACACCGGGAGAGAAGCTCCCTTTTCTTTTTAAATCGATAAAATTGCGTTGCCATTGACAATCACCACTAATTGTAGCCCTTTGAGAGATTTCCAACACCCTTACAAACAAATAACTTGGTAGCGATACAATATGCATCAACATTATCCAATGCTTCTGGCTTGAGCGGTGCAATTGTATTGACAACAATTTAAAGAATATTATACAAAATTAACCATCACCACGGGCCAGAAGTGATTTCTTTTCAAACACTCAGCGCTAGCAGTTTGCGCTGATGAACGTACATTTAACCCTGTTCTGCCCATATTATTGGGACTGCAATTTCTGCTCCTTGCACTTAAAATAAAAATAATAATCCTTACATTTGATACAGCGCCTTTCATGTTAAGAGAACATCTTAAAGCACTTCATGGGATATACTATAAAGTGTAGGGACTGTGTGTTTGGTGGGTGAATCCCTCAGCCAGTTTACACACGCAAATGTCCCACAAACAGCAATGAAGTGAATAACCAATTTTATCTGGAGGATTGTTGTGCCACGACACTAGGAAAAATACCCTTCTCTTTTTGAATAGTGCCATGGGATCTTTAACATCTATCTGAACAGTCAGGGTTGTGGAAATCTGGAATTCTCTGTCCCAGAAGGCTGTGGATGCTGGGACAATAGATTTTATAAGACTGAGGTTGATAAATATTTTTTAGGTAAGAGTATCAAGAGATATGGAGGAAAGGTGAGTATGTGGCGTTGAGGTACAGATCAGCTATGATCTAATTAATAGAATGGAGGAACACTCTTGAGGGGCTGAATGGCCCATTCCTGTTCCTAGTTCCAGACGGGACCTCAGTTGAACATCTTATCTGAAGGGCGGCACTTCCAACAATGTGTGCTGTCCCCAGCATTGGAATGTCAGCAAAGACTAAATGAGTTCCATGTCCCAAAGTCCACAACCATCTGACTCAGAGCTGACAGTTGTACTAATTGAGCCAGGCTGGAGTTTGGGATGTCTAGAGCTTCAACATGAACACCCAAGCACACGTCAGAATGCAATACTTAACTGCCCTGAGTCAGCAGGAATCACAACAGTGATGTGAAATGTGAGGATTGCATCATCTACACTACAATCTATCAGTCTTATACAATGCTACTCGTTTTACACAATTTATATGCATATGCACAACATTTCCGACTGACTTGATGACCAAATGATGCGCTTATTCTTTAAAGAAAAACGCGGGCAATGCTGTGATAATCATCACGTCAGCTATCACCGTCATCTATTAACGTTTTGTCTCAAAATCCATTCGATTCAAATCAACTTGGCCAGCAAGCGAGCGAGCAATTTTCTTTTTACATCCACCCTTTCTTCTTTGCAACGGTGCAATTGAGTCAGGCAGGGCAGGGCGGACATCGCGGGCTGAAGGGCCCTTCTTCTGGTGTTTTACACGTTGATGGTTCTCTGTGGTTTAAGCGTTGGGGTTTCGGGATTTGTAAGCCAGAATCTCCGCTGCGAGCTGCTGGGGATCAAGGATTTGTGGGTATTGGTTCATAACTGTATCCACCAGACTGGGGTGGAAGATAGCCTGGAGCTTCATGCGGACAGTCTCTCGCTCTTCCCTGTAGGGCTCAGGCATGTGCCACTGGTTACCTTTCCAGTAGGGTTCCTGCTGGTGCTGCTGCTCACGTCCCTGTCCCTTCCCTGTCCATCTCCGAGGGTCTGGGAGACTCCTGGTCCCTTCGCTGCTGTGTGAATGGTGGGGATCAACCCAGCAGTTATGCCTGCTCTGGCCACCAAGCGAAGGGAAGTCATTGGGAAGGCTGTATTGGGTCTGGAGTATTCTGTCCATGTGAATGCAGCCCTGGCATGAGCTCAGTAGATGTTGGTGAGGGTACCCACCAAGCCCTAGAGATGGCATTGATTCATGGGAATTATAGCTGCACTGTCTGGATAGAGGTGGATAATACTGTCCATTGTTAGAGTAGGCTTCAGTGTGGCCACTCAGCCAAATTCCTGACAAATCTTTATCAAGCGAGGCGAACCCTTCATCGTAACTTTTGGGTGAGTTGGAGCATATTGAATCATTGACCGCTGGGTGAGTGAACTGCTCGTTGCCGGGCATCCCAGGGGCTCTGCTGCGGTGGGCCATGGACTTGCTCAGCGCAGCCTTGCTCTCCAGACAGCTCCCGTTCTGCAGTGAGTACTGCCTGTCCACCCGGGGCCTCTCGGACGGCAAGAGCCCGCTCATGCCCACATCGGAGTGATACGGCCTCCTGTGGGGACTGCAGCGTTTCTCCTCCTTGTGAGGTCCTGTGGACATCAGGTTCTTGGTGGGCGAGGACCTCGCATTGGCACGGAGCTCATCCGCCACCGAGCGCTGGGGGTGGTTGATCCGCTCGGGATGATAGAATTTACACTTAATTCCGTATGTGCACTTTTTACCTATAACAAAGAAAACACAGATTCACAACACTGTCTCATGTCGTTTGTGGTCCTGTCCAAGTCCAAAGGAAACATCTCAAAGTAGCGGCAATTCGTGCGGTTGCTCAATGATGTGCTACGAAGCCTTTGTGGGCCAGGCAGAAGGAGGAGGTGTTTGGAAGAACATCTCCCCACTAATGGAATTATGAGGGTGTGGAATAATTTGCTGGGGGGGCATTGGGGTGTGTGTGGGGGGGAATAGCAAAGTCAATGAAGTAGGACAGTTGAAAAATAATTGGATTATTTGAATTGAACATCTTTCAATCTAAGGCAAAAGGTTCTTGCAGGAGAAGACTAGACCTGGGAGCCTCTGAATTTCTTAAACCGTGTTTGAAGTCTGTGACTCATTAAGCAGCCCGGTAGCGTAATGTCAGGACTCACCGTAAGGGCAGTGCTGCCGTTTGTTTTCTGGAACCACAGGCTTTTTCCGTAAGAAGTTGTCAAGACTCGGTCCGTGACGTCCAAGGGGATCATCGGGTGGCATGAACCTGCGGAGCAGAGAAGGAAATCCATTCTTAGTGAAAAATCCAAAGCAAATCCCTCACAGGAGATCAATGGGGTTAAAGGTCCTTTACATTTTCACTAAAGGGTCAATTTCTTAACTGTATTCAAAATGTTCTTGAATGAACTTTACAAGGTCTTTATCTCATTTTTAGCTTTGAATGGCTCTGTGCCCTCACCCCAATGACCTCAGCTTTGAAACGCTGTGTGAAGGGCGCTGTATGAATGCAAGTTGTTGTTGCTGTTACTATCCTGTGGCAGATTGTGAGGATGATCTGGAGGGGGCTTTGGGAACAAATTATCCACTTACTTGTCGCTCACGAAGGAATACATCAGGAGACGTTCTTCGATGAACTTTTTCCATTCGGCCTTTTCATTCTGCAGGTCCCGGTACGTGTCGTTGGAGACAATTATGCCGTCAGATTCGTGCGCCAGTTTCACAATAAAGCGGTCGTCGTAGCAGACAATCCTCTTGCCACCAATCCGCCGTGAAGGGGTGAAGACAAGAATCTTTCTCTTTTCCAACTCCAGAAGAACGTGCTGATCTAAATGGGGGATTATTGATCGATTAGCAATTGAAACAAGAGAAATGTATTACAGTCTTTCTTCTTTCTCCAAACAAGAGAACAGCTCTATATACAGCAATAGGTTTCTTTTAAGCAATAGGGGGGATTGTTGGCCAGGACACTAGGAGAAACTCCCTTCTTATGTCACCATCAAATCACAGCAGGCTATCCATGTTTGTAATATTACCCTTTTTGAGTAGAGCCATGGGATCTTTAACGTCCACTTGAACAGGCAGATGGAATTCGCTTAACGTTTCATTCACTTCCGACAATGTGACACACACAGCATTGCACTGGAGAGTCAACATAGACTATATAACTCTCTGATGTGGGATTTGAACCCTTAAACTTCTGACATCAGCGGAGATGTGACGGTGCAGAAGTTGACCATTTCTTAATGTAGGAAGCCAATTTGTCAGTAACTGAAGCCAGGTGTGCTGTAGTTGCAATAAAGCATGGTTTGCAGCAGATAGTAAATTAACTCAGGCTCCACCTAACAGGGCCTTGCAATTGGAACAACTGAGAATATGCTGAGAATATCCCAAACTGAAAGGACTGAAATCGATGCTTTTTTAGTCATTTAAACAAAAGATACACTTATGTATCGGACAAGTTCCACTGAATCAAAGAAGATTTACATGCCACAGAACTACAGACATTTACAGCACAAAAGAAGGCCGTTCAGCCCATAGAGCCTGTGCTGGCCACTTGAAAGAACAATCCATTTAACTCCATTTACTTGATTTTTCTCCTGTTGTTATCTAGTCCCTATTGAAAGCCAACAAGGATCCCATCTCGACTCTCTTAGAGGAATCGGTTCCATAGGCTAAGAGTAGGTGGATTTTCGTGTTCAGTGCCCCACGGCATCACAAGGGGCTGAGAATCTGGTTAACACTGAACAATTCTTTGAGAGCTATTTCCCTTCAGTGGGGAATACAATAACTCATTGTCGAGAGGAATGGGGGAAGTGCCAGACTGAAAGTGCTATAAATAGAAGAAATGGGAACAGAAGTGGTTGCTTACCTCTGATTGGCACGTCAGGTCTTGACTGTTCTTTCCTCCAAGACGGCACAAACACAGTGATATCTGTGTGACCTCGCTCCAGGAACCAATTCACAGCCAGCTGAATCCCATGGCATGAAAACACCTCTTTATTCCCATGACTGAAAGAAGAGCAAAGTCACACCGGTTAGGTTACTTCACCTCAAACCTCACCCCGTGTTTAGCGTTCAACAATAGCATTAATCCTGAATAATCCCTGTAATAAATCCGGTTCACAGCCCCTTTATACTATTTGTCGCAATGATACTTTCCTCGCATTTCAACAACAACAGCAACAACTTGCACCTACATAGCGCTTTCCACGCAGGATAGCGTCTCAGAACGCTTAACAGTGGTGGCCAGACTCTGAGCCGGGGGGAGGGGGGCATAAGCACGGTCGAAGAGGAAAGTTTTCAGGTGGGACTTGAAAGAGGGGAGAGTGGGGGCAAGGCGGAGGGATTGAGGGAGAGTGTTCCAGAGATTTGGGGCGTAGTTGCTGAAAGCGCGACCTCCGATAGTGGGTGCGAGAGACAAGCAGGAGGCCAGTGCCAGTCGAGCGGAGGTGCCGGGTGGTGGATTGGGGAGTGAGGAGGTCGGAGAGGTAGGGAGGTGCCAGGGAGTGAATGGATTTGAACATGAACACTATTTCATGTAGTGCCTTATCATGTCATGTGACAAGATTTACTGTAAAGTGTAGTGACTGGGTCTTTGTAGGTGAACACAGCCTCCAATTTTGTGCACAGCAATATCCCTTAATCATGAAGTAATGGCCAATTTTAACTGGGGGATTGGCAGCCAGGAAACTAGGAGGAACTCCCTTCTCTTTTCAAAGAGTGTAATGGAATATTTAACATCCACCTGAACAGGCACAGATGGGATCTCGGTTTACTGTCTCTGGCAGGCAAAGACAGGAAAATCTGCATCAATAAGTCCATGACTCATCGCTCCATCAGTAACAAGTCACAAACCACACAATGGGCAACCTTTGGGGAGAATTTTCTCTGTGGGTCTAGATTTACTTTCTTTTCGAAACCTTTCACAATGTAAAAAATTGGGCCAATTGTTGAAATTAATTTTTTTTGAAGGCTCTCTCTCTCTCTCTCTCTCTCTTTCTGTGGTTGTTCTGAAAAAGAACTTGCAGAAGCCCAGTTTCATAATTAAAGATTGTGCATCGAATTCTGGACGCTCAGAAATGCTAAATTAATAGAGTAAATCTAGACCCAAGTGGAATTTCTCCTAATTTATTCCTCTTCCACCAGTTCCAGGGAAATCAAAGCTCCAGAACTATGGTGTTACATTGTTACATTCTGCAGTTGGTTGGATCTGAGTAAATAGAATGCAAAATTATATTTGTATAGCGCCTTTCACACCGGGAGGATGTCCCAAAGTGCTGGACAGTCAGGGATTATGAAATGATCAGTTTCAAGGTCTAAGGTTTGTTAAGTGCGTCAGAATGATCTGTTATTCAATGAGAGGTAAAATTGGTCTGTGATAGTGTTACCGTGTGTGTGTGTGTGTGTGCAACTGAACTACTCAATGTGGAATTCCTTAAAAGAATTGTGATGGGTTTCTGACTATCAGACACCCAGCTGACCAACAACAAACCTGTGTCCACAAAATCTCCCTTTGTTTTTGTGCAATACTCTTAAATACTCAGTAAACAGTGAAATAGCTTGTCCATACTTATCTGATTTCAATTCCTCATTACTGAAAATAACTTGTTCAAAGGTCAGTTGTTCAAAGATCAGTCACTGTATCTAGTATAGATTACCCCACTTGTAAGTACGAAGAACTAATCTACCGTGTTAAGGGGGTTTGCACTGCAGTATATCTACTGTATGTGTGTCTCCTCTTTCCATGTGGCAAATCCCATGTTAAGTAGATCACAAGTTTAACATTTCGCAACAGAGACTGAGAACTATGCTACGAAGGCATAGCCTCGTTAAACATTCTGTTCACAAGGAAGTGAGGGCAGTTTGGATCCAGATTTACATATGCTTTGTTTAAGGTTTATAGAGATAGGCACCTGGTGCTTCATTTAATAACACACCAAGATATAGAACTAATGCAGGAAGAGGGGAGATCCCAAGTGAAGCTATTCCAGGAAATGTTTAATCGATCTTTGTACCAAGCTTTATCTTGGTCCAAAATTTCTTCTTTAATTTCTGGTTTATGGTTGGAAAATGACTGATACTATTGTCCTCCAGTGTCAGGAGCCTTGTCAGTAGCCACTATGTCCTGAACCTCTGGGATTGTCTGCCTCAATCCCTCTGCCTTGCTCACTCTTTATTTATCTTCAAATCACCCCTAAGACTTTCCTTTTCGACCGTGCCCCCTGTCTCCCCATCCGGGCGTCACATTCTGCCATTGTTCAGCAATTGGATCTGGTACCCTGTATAAAGGCGCTATACAAATGCAAGTTGCTGTTGTTGAGAGAGATTCAGGGTTCAAGCCCCATGTCGGGACTTCGAGCTCATAGGGCAATACTGTTGCAGGGGCAATAGGGTTGGAGGTGTCCGTCCTTTGGATGAGATGCTAAACTGTGGTCCCACTCTGCCTGTTCAGTGGAAATTAAAGGTCCTGTGGCACTATTCGAAAAGAGAATAGAGTTTTCCTAGCGCTCTGACCGACAACTCCTCAGATAAGATCAATCCTTCAGTTCATGGCAATTTGCGAGACATTGCTGTGTGCAAATTGACCACTGACTTGGACTACAAAATAGTCAGTCACAACACATTACAATAAATTCTGTGAAGTGCTTTTAAGCATTTTGATAATATGGTGAAACACGGTACCAAATGCAAGGATCGTTAAGTACAACGTAAGGTTAGAGATAGAGAGAGAGAGAAATTCAAAGATAGAGAAAAACAGAAAGTTAGAGGGAGAAGAGCCTCAGAATGAAAGGCACTAGGAGAGAAAGAGTCAACGAGTGAGACTCAGAGAGAGAGAGAGTGACAGACAGACACATAGAGAGAATGTTACATATTCTGCTGGCACAGACATGATGAGCCGAATGGCCACCTTCTGTGCTGTATAATTCTATGTATAATTCTATGTTAGGGACGTGTTAGAAGAAGCAAGGAACATGGTATGAAACACCACAAACTGTACAGTAATAACTGCATAAATAGGAACTTATTTGTGAACACGGCAGCCAATTTGCATACAACAAGGTCTCATAAATGGCAATTAAGTGAATTTATCTGGGAGATTGTTGGCCAGGACACCGGGAAAAACTCCCTTCTCTTTTCGAACGGTATCTCCTAAACATTATCTTGTTCAGGAAGAGATAATAAATTAGCACATAAGCAAGAATGCCCTGTGAACTTTCTGATTATTAAGCCAAGACCCAACCCTATTAATACATCCTTGAAATAGCATCAGATTCTATAACTTCCTCCTAGGTAGGGATACATTTCCCCAGAACGCAGGTGACTCAGTGTCCGGAACCAGTTCGCAACAGGACAGTTAGAGCAGTGACGCCCAGTGTAGGGGAAGCTAAAACTAACAGCTGTATTTAAGAATTCGTTGATTTCTGGATACTCTAATTCTAAATAACTAGAGCAAATCTGGACCTGGGTGCATTTTTTTTTACGCCTTAGTCTTAAGGATAAAACAACTAAGGAACCACTGAGAAAAACAGAAGGTTAAGGGACCTTACATTCTGGGCTGTGAATTTACTAATTGAGACAATAACAACAGCAACAACAAATCACATTCGTATAGCGCCTTTCATGTTAGGAGGACGTCCCAGACAGTAGGAATCACTCATTCACAGCTGTTTGTGGGATGTTGCGGTGCGCAAATTGGGTGCCTCGGTTGCACATGAAATTCACAGTCATTTCACTTTACGGTATATCCTGCACAGCGTTTTGAGACGTCCTCCTGACACCATAGGTGCTGCATTTGATGTAAGGGTTAGATTATGTAAAATATCACCGTACCTCATTGCCACGTTGCTACCATCGATGACAATCGTCCTCAGGTTGTTCTCCTGCTCTTGGATTTCTTCGGTGATGGGGACGTTGGATGGAGTTTTGGTTGAGGATCCCCCTCGAGGTATTAGGGTGGGACCCCAGAGCTCCTCAGGAACACTTTCTTTCTCCACCGTGCCTTCCGCCTTCACTAACTCTCCTAGAATGGTGTTGGTGTCGGCACTGAGGTCCACCTTCTGGATCTGATCTGGTGCGTAACCCAATTTACGGAAGAAATCCACCTTCATCTGTAGCTCGGTGTAGGCGAGTGAAGTCAGTGAGGAGCCCTCAGACTCCAGTTTCCCTGTCCTGTGCTGGGCTGGGATTCAGCTTTGCTGCTCGTTCCCCTTTCTTTTGAACCAATAACGTTCCAGCCAAAGCTGCTCATGTTCGTTAAGTTGTTGGAAGACACTTTGGCATTGACAGGACAATTGGCAGCCTGAAGAGAGTCTCTCAGGGGAATTCTGCCCCAATTGGGGAAATCCAAAGAGGATTTCAGTTCATAGCCTTTGGATTCTGTCAAACTCATATCCTTGTTCAGCAAAGCTTCACGTCCTTTCAAATTCAGATCCTATAAAGATAGATTTACATTACTAAACATAGTAGGGTGAAGGTCTTTACCAAAGTCATGGTTTTCTAGCCAGAGGTCACAAGTCGGAAGGTCAGTCTCATCTTCAGGGTGGGTAGGCATGGAATCTGCTGAGTTCAAGATACGAATTATCATTTACACTTCACGCTGATTGACCCTTGCTGGCCAACTTGGTCCAAACACCTTGAAAAATCCCTGATGTTCCTGTCATAATATTAATAAGAATTCTTGCATTTGATATTGCGCCTTTCATGTCAGGAGAGCGTCTCAAAGAGCATCTCACAGAATCTCACTATAAGTAGGCATTTGCCTGTTGTATACTTTTTTTTATATAAACACAATTACAAACAAAACATTCACCCGTGTCCGTGAGTTCTAATCAGATGATTTATTAAGATGCACTTTGCTTCCTTACAACAACAACAACAGCAGCAGTAACAATGACAACAACTTGCAATTATATAGCGCCCTTCATGGGGGGGTGGGGGGAGAGGGGGTGTAGCGTCACGGAGAGCTTAACAGTGGTGGATCCTGACGCTAAGCACGGTTGAAGAGGAAACATTTAAGGCAAGCGATCATTTTATGTAAAATTGTTATCTCCATCACAGTGCGTGTACCTCATAGGCTGATTTACCACGCCTCAAATCTTGTTCTGACAGGACACAACATGATGCGAAAAAGAAGAACAACTTTTGGAATTTCCCTGTGACTCTTCCTCCTAGTTGTTGTGTCTTAAACCAAGCCTTACGCTTGGTGGAATCCACACGGCCTGTTACACAATAATTTTCCTCAGTGTCATTTTTTCTGACTTCTGCGCTCTGCTGTTATTTTAATGATTTTTATGAAGAATAAAATAAATGAGGGGCTCTAAACGCAACTGATTTACCAATATATGTTTCGCCCACAAAATACACAGTCACTCCACTTTATTCTGTGAACTGCTTTCAGATGTCTCAACCAGGTGATAAGGCGCAACATGCAAGGATTATTATTATTGTGTAGCCCAGTATCCTGTTTGCCTTGTTTATTGCTGCCTCACACTCTTGTGATACAGTGAGCGACAAGTCAACTAACTCTCTTTCAGCTTCCCCTCAGCAAGTTCAAAATGAATAAATAGTCGGTGTCTTCATCATCAGTATTGATCTGAATCCCCCAAATGGTCGATTTTAAATGATTTCATCCAATATTAAACTATTACTCATTGAATTGGACACGCTGATCTCACTTTCAAAGTCTTGTTTTCCGAGAATTTCCCTCTGTTAAATGTAACAGAATGAAATACGCCACCGCAGCCTACCAACCCTTGGCACAGCCCCAATCTCAATATACTGTGGAAAGATTGTTTGGGTGTAGGCTTGCAATCGCCCTGATTTTTTTCTTTATATTCCAGGAGTAGTTCGGGGCTTTCCCACAGGAAGCAGAAATTCCGCAAAGAATGAATAAGTTTCCTTCTGTGCTGCAAACATTGCTTTCTTAGAATGTGCTCCTACATCAACAGGGCTATATCAAGCGTAATTGTTTACAATAACAGGTGTCAGCCTGCCTCAGTTGGAACTTTTGCTTCTGATTCAGAACACTGTGGGTTCAAGACCATGTCAGGACTTGAACTCACACAGTCTGGGCTGACACTCCAGGGCAGTGCTGGGGGAGTGCTGCATTGTCGGAGGAGCCGTTCTTTGGATGAGACGTTAATGCCAGGTCCTGTGTGCATGTCCAGGTGGACGTTAAGATCCCCGTGGATCTATTCAAAATGAGAAGGAGGTTTCTCTCTCCCGGTGTCATGACCAACACCTCCCACTCCACCCACCCCCAGTGTGTTCGCCTACGCATTCACTGCACGCCACATCCTGTGAAGCATTTTGAGACGTCCCAATGACACGATAAGGCTCAATATCAAATGCAAGGATTATTAAGTATTTAACTTCAATTTAGTATATAAACAGACATAACTGAGTACTTATTACCTGCCGCTGCCCCCTCCCTCACTGTTTTAAGAATGGAAGCAGCTTCCTATCCCTCTCCCCTTTCCTCTAATCCTTCCCCCCCATCACTCAGAGACCTTCCTTTGAGATGGGGGAAGGGGGAGAAACAATTCCATCAGGAATTAACAGCATTTCATTAATGATCTACAAAGTCCTATTGCAGCACACACGTGATTTCTGCACACATCCAGGAAAACATTAGAACAAGAGATTTCCTTAAGGGAATTTAACCTTTCTGCTAGCACAAATTCTTTCCTTTCCCTCCCTCCCCCTCTCCCCCCAACTCGGGGCCTTGCCAATTTACATTTCACTTTGAGGCTACCAGAGGGGAAGTTTTTTTTAAAAAAACCACAAAAAAAACGACACTACAACAAACAGAGAAATAATAGGGCGCAAACTCACCAACTCTATATGTCGTTTACAACTTCCTACGTGATCACAAGCTCAGAGTTTCTGCCAGGGGACAGTTAACGTAACCTTCAGTTGAGACTAAATTCTTACTGAACTTGCTGGAGCTTGCAAAGCAGATTCCACCACCCAAAAAAAAATAAGAGCAATAACTGCTGTACACATCTGCACGTGGACACACACACACATTCACACACACTCACAACACACACATCCTGTCACAGACATGTTGGGGAGTTTCCTTGGCAAGTACTGATCAGCGCATTCATCATTCAGTGTGCAGGCAACTAACTGACACAGAGTGCTTTATTTCCCTTATCACGATAAAATATTGTATTTGGCAGACAACAACAAGAGTACATTTGTATAGCGCCTTTCACACAGGCAGCGGCAGGTAATTAGTACTTAGTTATGTCCCAAGATGCTGGCAAGTAAGTCCACTTGCTTTCTCTTTCCCCACATAGCCCACCCCTAACGTGGACATAAAGCAAACACATTTGTGTTTGGCTTTCATCAATCATCAGCATTTCAGTGACTCACACCCCATCATATGTTGGATTCAATGGAGAAATAGTTTAAGCCATTGCCTCGGCTGCATCTCACCACGAACCCTTTTATACAATAATCTACTGATAACTCAACCCTGCCTTAATTTGTCACTAGCACTTAACCATCCAGGGATCCACCAACAGATTTTACCTTCCACTTGTTTCGTCTTGGATCTGAAGAACTTTCAGATCCCAAAATATTTAAACTTACACGAGCAATGGCACAAGAGGCAGACAACAATTTACTATTTAAAACTATCTTTTTTTTTGTGTGTGATCAGATATTTGCTCAATCGTTTTGGCAGCAGCTTAGCTCAAATCCCAAAGTTACTGACTGACTACCTGGCTGAGAAGTGGTTGTGCAGAAAGCCAGTGACAACGAGTGCTCAAGACTTTGCTGTACCTACACGTTATAAACTCCCCCCAAAAGACCCTTTACAAAAAGAGTCGCAAATCACCAGCCACCCCCACCCCTGAGTAGACAATATCACCCGTTTTTCGGGAGCAAACAACGGAAATCAGCGCGATTCTCACCGGACTCTGTATACATGGACCTCCAGCTACTAACTGCAGAGAGAGCATTCCAACCTCGACCACATCCACTTGTTCAACTCATGACATCTCTGCTGCCTGGGGTTTATATATGTATATCGCAGGCAGACAGTGACGCCACTGAGTTGTATTCGTTGCTAAGACACAGCTAACACTCCGCAGGTTATTCCCCTTCGCAGTTACTTCCTGATTCTCAGTAACAAGCAGCAGCTTTAGAGGAATCAGGAAGCTCAACTTCAATCCTGCGCTCATTTTCCTGCTGCACTTTACTTCTCTGCATTAGTCCTTTGTAATATACTGAAGCATCTTTTTTTTTCTCTTTCTCCCTTCCTCCCTCTCTCTCTCCCACTCCTTTAGCATTCAGCACAAGACCCCTGCTTCAATTTTTTTTTAAACCTCTTACGAGTCCTGCAGCTCAGTGGTTAGAGCACTCACTTTGCAAGCGAGACACCGGGGTTCAATTCCAAGCAGGTTAGGGCGAAACCTTGGGCAAGTTTCCTTACTCCACACGCCTAATAATAATCCTTCCAAAAAAACAAAAACAATAATAAATTAGTCATTTTCAATCCACGACTGTTTGTGGGACACTACTGTGCACAATTTGCTGCTGCGTTTCGCCCACAAATATACAGTCAATTCACTTTACAGTATATTCTGTGAAGCGCTTTGAGACATCGAGAAGACGTGAAAAGCGCTATATCAAATGCAAGGATTATTATTATTAATGCACCTTAGCTCTTTGACTGTACTTTGGGTTATCTGCAACACCCCCCACCCCACCGCCAACACAACCCCTCTATCCCCTTTTCCTCTCTCCTATCCTTTCCCCCTCTCTCCCTCTCCACTTCCCTCTGCTCTTCACTCTCTCTCTTGAATGGCTTTGAGATGTTCTCCTGGTATGAAAGATGTTGTATCAAATAATAACCCTTGGGTTATTACATTTTTCACACACACACAAGTGTGACAGCTGTTACTGCAAAGCCATCAAGCCTTTGGGTGTCTGTGTGTGTGTAAAAGTATTGTCACAGTGGGACATTGCTGTGTCCAAAATTATCTGCTGTGCACACACTATATAGCAATCTGTAAAATGTTTTGAGGTGATAGGCGTTTTATCGAATCCGAGGATCCTTATTAAATATTTGATTTTATTGAATTTTTTTTGAAAAACATAAAAAGTTTGGTTTCTTTTGTGCGCACCTTAGGTCGTCCCTGCTCATCAAATATCAGTCCCGTACACGGAGAGGGTGCAGCCGTCTTGTCCCGCTGCTCTTGGTGACATTCTGTTGTGCAAAATGGTTTCACTTGCAGGAGGAATGCCCTCTATCTCTTTGATAATTGTTCCCTGCCCCAGCCTGACCCAGATTAGCAATCTGCACTGCAACCATTGCCTTCATCGAAACTGCTTGTTGCACAACGCAGCACATCGGTGAGTAAAAGATTAAGTGAAAGACCTTCTGCTGTGTTTATTAAGCCTCATCATCCAGTGTGACGTCCATCTCCGGGTGCCTGATAGCAGTCATCAGCAGTTTCAAGGCCGGGTTCTGGTCTGTGGCTGGAGGCTGTTACTGATACTGTTTATTCCTCTCTCTCTGGTTTGACTTGGGTTCGTCACCGTTGTCAACAGGTAACGGATATGTTTACGGGCTGGAAAGGACATTTCTTGCTTTTCGTTGTTGATGACTAAATGCATTAATATACATATATGCACAAAATACACAGTCAATTCACTTTACAGTATATTCTGTGAATCGCTTTGAGACTTTTGAGACCCGGAGAAGTGATAAGGAACTATATCAAATGCAAAGATTATTATTATTAATCATCTGTAAACCCCCCCCCCCACCCCGAAAACAAGACTTGATTTCGGCTGCTCACTTCATAGCTGTTTGTGGGACTTTGTTGTGCACAAGTTGTGGCTGCCGTGTTTACCTACAAGATACAAGGTCACTACACATTACAGCGAATCTCACGAAGAGCTTTGAGATGCTTTCCTGCTGTGAAGTACGCCATGTCAAAGGCAAGGATTAGGATTCCACTTCTTCTTAATTCGAAAATGTTCCTCAAAGAATTCTAAGTTCTTGCATTTTTTTGCATTAAAGTCAGAGAGGTTGGCGGGAGGTGGGGAGAGGAATTTGGTCAGTGATAATTAACACAGCACATGTCACTTTTTTTACCCACAGAATAATACGCGCTGTGTCAAATAACAAACAACACAACAACTTGCACTTATATAAGCGCCCTCCATGCAGGGTAGCGTCTCAGAGCGCTTCACAGAGGCGGAGCCTGACTCCGAGCCGGGTGAAGTGGGGGGGAAGGTGAGGTGGCTGTAAGCACGGTCAAAGAGGAAAGTTTTCAGGCAGGAGAGGGGGGGGCAAGACAGAGGAATTGAGGGAGAGTGTTCCAGAGCTTTGTGGCGTAGTGGCTGAAAGCATGACCTCCGATGGTGGGGCGGGGGTTCGAGACACGAGCAAGAGGCTGGTGGCAGTTGAGCAGAGGCGCCAGGTGGTGGATTGGGGAGTGAGGAGGTCGGAGAGGTAGGGAGGCGCCAGGGAGTGAATGGATGAAATGTAAAATAATTATTATTAATTATAATAGTATATAATAATCCTTGCATTTGGTAATGCGTCTTATCACGTTGTTGGAAAGCCTCAAAGTGCTTCACAGGATTTCACTGTGTATCTTGAAGGCAAACACAGCAACCAATTTGTGCACAGCAATGCCCCACAAACAGCTTCACAAATCTGTTTGGTAAGGGAAGCATTGTACTTTTCAGGCACTATAATTGGGGAATTTGCATTAAGTTGGGGGGTTCCAACAGGCCAGAGTAAATTGCATAGAGTGAACCGCAAATGTATGTGTAAAGCATTTCAACTCACAATCTAGTTATCTAAGGTCTATTCTTAATTTTGTACATTTCTGATCAAAATCACAGCATTTACTCCTTTTGATAGCTGGTTTCTTCCTTTTCTTGGTCAGTTGGGTGTCTGACACAATTGGAAAGCTATCACCAAGCTGAAGGGTATCCAAACCAAACAGATAGTTCCATGCGACCCACCTATACATGGAAATTCCCGAGATATTTATCATAATGGAATGTGCACTCTCTCCTTGGAGGGATGCAACCTGCTTACCTAATTCCGGAGAGAATTAGGCACAGATTGGCAAGAGTCAAGACTTGGAGACCCCAGAGTATGTGTTGGGGTAATTGCTGGAGCAGCTAAAACCGCACAGCTTGCCTTTGAAAGCACTGTCTGACAAGCTTCCTGATGGGCAATGCAGTTCAGCATGAAATGCGTGGGAACATCTTGCTTTCGTAAATGATCAGTGATTTGTAACTCTTCGCTCTTCGAATGTCCTTCCTCTCCGATCTCCCCGGATCCTCTATCCACAAGCTCCAGCACACTGTTTCGACACAGTGAGCAATGAGTCAATATAACACCCTTAGATCTCCATCAGCTTCCCTGTGGCAAATTCTATCCCATTCATTATGTAGTGCTTGAATCCTATACGCAGTAACTTGCGTTTATCTGTATTAATAATAGTATTAGACTCAGCCCATGTGTTTACCCTTTCAAGGTTGCTTTGCTGCATCATCTGATTACAAAGTTCTCTCCAACTTGATGTCATTTGCAAATGTAACTACCGTAAACTTTGTCGGCACATCCGGGTCATTACTGTATACAAGGAACAGGAAGGGTCCCAGTACAGACCGCTGAGGCACCTCATGTAATACCTCTCCGCATGGCGAGAAGGGACAAAGAGGGGAAGGGGGAAGGGGGAAAGGGAGGGGAGGAGGGGAAGGAAGGGGAGAAGGATAGGAGAACGGAAACAGTGAAGAAAAAGCAATTTATGAAACAAATGCTTGTATAATGTTACCTGAATAACCTCAAGTGCTGTGCTGAAATTTTAAGATCTGAAACTTCATTACATTGAGGCTCGACTATGCAAAGTCACTGCTTGTCGGCCTCCCCAATTTCTCCCTCCACAGGCTGCAGATGATACAGAACTCCATGACCCCATCACCCCCATCCTTGCCCACCTCCACTGGCTTCCCATCACACAGAAAATATAGTTCAAAATCCTGGTCCTCACCTTCAAAGCCCTCCACAGTCTTACTCCCCCCAACCTCTCTGACCTCCTAAACCCCTACCACCCTGTTTGCTCCCTCCGCTCAGCGGGCTCCGGCCTGCTTCACGTCCCCCACCTTGCTCGCCCCACTATCGGCCGGCGGGCCTTCCGTCACTCTGCACCAACCCTCTGGAATTCCATCCTGCAGTCCCTCCGTATCGCCCCCTCCCTCGCCACCTTCAAGACCCACCTCAAGATCCTCCTCTTCGACCGTGCTTTCGATCTCTCTGCTTCCCTCCCTGCCCTCCCCCCCCTCCCACTCCCTGACCCCCAGCTCGGGTCCGAAACTCTTCTGTCCAGCGCCTTTGGAAGTCTTCCCGACGTGAAAGCCGCTATAGAAATGTAATTTTGTTGACGTATTTGGATAGCTGCTCACTCATCAGAAAGAATAAAACAGGAAATCGTCCTCTCCCTACATGGTTAATTTCCTAGTGTGAGCCACAATCACAGTTGTACATCAGTATGAACTCAGGAATTTCCAGTCCAGAGAGAGGATGAGTGTGAGGGAGGGGAGGGAAGGGACGGGAGGCGAGCCAGAGGTTTGGAGCATTGTGGTGTTAGTTAAAGAATTTTGTAACAATTTTGCAGTACCTTAGAGTATTCCTTTTCGTGAGGACAAGGGATATTTTTAGGAAACCCACTAATTTTGTCAGCAGGATTTGTACTTTATTGAAATCAAGTTTCATTGGCCATCTAACTAATGAGGGGGTCAAACCCGTGCCAAGGTAAACATTGTTTGGTAATGATATGTTAGAATCAACCCTCCATGGCAGTCTTGGTAATCCAGGTCCACAGTATTCCAGGGAACTGATGATTACATTGGAAGGGCAGACCAGTCACTCAGCTCCTGCTACTCCTGTAGGCCAAAGCCCTAATGGGTAGGATGGATGGTCTTAAGCAGTCTGTGTCAGACGCCCAGCTGACCAAAAAGAAACAGGTTTCGATACAGATCAGAACAAAAGCATTCAGTGAAAGGCAGCTTAAATG